TATTTTATGCTTCTTCACAGAACTAAAACTGAACTGATACCACCGACAATATGGAATGCCAAAAGACGACAGATTTAAGTCGTTTTTACATTTTGGTCTGATTAATTCATCTGCAGAGCGTCAAACCAGCTCAGCTCCAGGTGACATAGAAAGAGTGACAGCACAGCTTCCTGCCTGTCGGTTGGTTGATCTTGAGGACTTGCAGCCTGTTGAGCCAGGCAGCTCACTGAAAACTCTTAGAAGCCTTAGGCAGACAAGGGCAGCCCCAGACCACTTCAGAACTACCTCCTCCCTCATCGGGGCTGCAGGTGCTGGTCCTTTCCCATCAGGTAAGTCAGGAGACTTTAAGCTGACAAATATGTTTTGCGCTATTAAAGCTGCCTCTCGCTTTGGACAAGATTAAGGAAGGAATATACCAGGAATCCACTGTCATTCACTTCTTCTTAAACACAGATCTTCCTCATGACACAGTTCAAATCACTGTCGTACCAACTTATCAAAACCAGCCATTTTTAATAAAATCAAATACATGAGATATTTTAGATTGTGCATATTTGAAAACATCCTTTTGTATTTTAGAAATGTTTTACATAGTTTGCTTACTTTTTACTCCCTTCCTTGTACATCATCTGGTCTCTCTTTAAATAGATGGACGTACATACGGGATCCCATCTGTGCGCTCAGATCTTCCAGCTCCTCGCATTAAAAGAGTCAGTGACAGAAACAATTATGGCGATACATCCACAGCTGGAGATCTTCTACATCCATCAGTTCATGCCCTGCAAGGTGTTTATGAGGAACATTTCTTCTGTCCTCGCAGCAAGGAGGAGGTACAGCCTATAGATGAGACTGGGGTGGCACTGTCTGTCTTTCAAATCTCACCATCTTTTATTATTTGTATGAAAAAGAACATTATTGTTATTATTATTTGTCGACAGAAACAATTTTACATTTTTTTCTGACATAGAGGAAAATTGCAAGTTATTACAGCATTGTGTTTTTGAAGTTAAGATAAGTGAGATAAGTGATGCTTCTGTTAAAAAGTTATTACACCTGCACAACAATGGGGTCTGTTCCATAAAATAAACACCACTAATGTGGGTAATCTCATTTACTGCATCAAAGTCTGCCCCATATAACGTATCTGCCTAAGAAAGGCTTATGTCTGAGTTTTTCTTTTTTCTTTGTTTTTTTAAAGATAAATTCAGAATCTTTGCTGGCAGTAAGTCAAACTCATCTCTCATGGGTGCTGAACTCTGACCTCTGCCAGGGCTGCCTTTTGTCACTGATTCTGTTCATAGTTTTTATGGACTGAAGATCTACACATAGCCAGGTGGTGGAGGGTCTCCATTTTGGTGGCCTCAGCAATTCATCTTTACTTTTGTAGATGATGTGGTTCTGTTGGCTTTATCGGACAGTGACCTCCAGCTTAGACTGGAGCAGTTCATGGCTGAGTGTTATGTGGTAGGAACGGGAATCAGCATGTCCAACTCAGAGACCATAGTTTTCAGCCAGAAATGGGTGGAATACCCTGTTGGGTCTCGAGACGAGTTGCTGATCATTATCAATCTCAGTTGATATGTGCTCAAGTCCAAAAGAGCATCCCAAAACACAGATACTGTATGTGTGTGTTTTGAATGTGCACAAAAGTAGCCTTATATCTTGTGTTCTTGTTAATGAGTGAGGGGAGAGTGGAGCGTGAGACTGACAAACAGATTGGTACAGTTTCTGCAGCCCCAATCTGTTGTGGTGAAGAGAGAGCTGGGTGTAATAGTGAACCTGTCGATTTATTAGTCAATGTACATTTCTACCGACACTTATATCGTACCCGAAGATACAAGTGACAGAATGGAGTTTCTGTATAAGGATCGCTGAGATCTGCCTTTGGGATAGCAGCTTGGTTTTTCAAGTGGAACTTTTCATAACGAAAAGAGCCAGCTGAGGAGGTTCTAGGAGGTCTTCTATGAAAGATGTTTCAGGCATGTGCTACTGGGGGGAGGCCTTGGGGAAGACTGAGGATTTGCTGGAGAGATTTCATGTCTTGGCTGGCTTAGGAATGACTTGGTGTCATACATAAATACGTCTAAATGTGAAATGACTGAAGGCAGGGCTCTAGAGTGTGACCAGTTTGGTCGCAAATGTGACCAAATTTTTCAATTTCATGTGTACGTTTGAAAGTGCAGGTGGATAGAGAGAGGTGAGTAGCTGGAATAAAGCGATATCGATTCATTAAATCTTGAATCGACTTTTAAATATAAATGTATTTTGCCAGAAACGGCAGAATCTCAGGTTAAAGCTCCCAAAACTATATGAACAACCACCAAACAGTAAATGAGAGCAGGTAAACGGATTCCACACAAAGATGTAAACACAGAGCGTGGACCCGACACATCAGAATCAGCTTTCTCTTTCTCGGCTTTCTCACCTGACAGCTTGGACACGCTGTCGGGGCTGAAAGCCGACAGCTCACTGTTTCTGAAATATCGGCAGGTCTGCTTTGTGTTTACGTCTTTTTTGTGCTAGATTCTGAGCTGCAGGTTTTGTCTCTCTCCAACCAAATTCACTGAACCAGCAGCAAAACAAGACCCAAACTACGCTTCACATTTAATAAATCTCGTCATCAATTCCCTCTTACCTTTGCTGTTTTGTTGTTGTTTTGGTTTATTTTACTTAGACTTTCTCATCAGAGGTCATTTAATTTCTGCTGTTCAATACTGAAGAAATTTAAACTTTTTAAAATTATGCAATTATGCAAAATATGCATAATTACTACTGCAGTATATTTTCAAGGTTCTCTGCTAGAAAAAGCCAGGCCAGGAAAATCTCCTTCATGTTTTTCTGTGTTTTATCCTGAGTTACTTTGATACAAAGGCATCTGCTGCTGTGATGCTACACCTCTGATAAAGTCTCACATGTATCAGTACTGATACACGATCAGAATTATAATATTTCTGACTGTCTGGGTCAAAATTCAATCTAATCGAATCGGGACCTTGTAATTCGGAATCGAATGGATTATAGAAATCAGTGACGATACCCTTAGTGAGCAGCCTAGGCCTGACAGAAGTGGATGTAGCTGTGGGTAATAAGAAAAGATGAAAATAACTATTGATAACCTTTTTGTTAAGTTAAGGCCTGAGCCGTCTGAAATTCACAGCCAGTGCTCTGACACGGAGCCATCAATTTCTGCACGCTGAAAAAGCAGCAGTGTATCCAGAAAACACATTATATGCTGCAATAAATGCACTGCCCAAGTGTCCCCTCTCCCCACTGCCTTTCAGTGGGGAGAGGGGACAGGCAGCAGCAAACAGGTCGTCAAAGGAGGCCAATGTGATGATTAAGTTTAACATTGTCTACAATATTGCCAAAGAGTGCCAAAGCATTTTAAGCACAAGCACTTTTTCAGTAACTTATCTTTCTTGTAGAACTGTGCTCCAAATAAAGAACTTTGTGTTGACAAGATTGTTAGTTAATCATTTGCAAATCAATATTGTCTGTATGGACAGCAATTTTCCCCCCAAAAACGTGCAAAGTGTAAAACTGCGGTGTTAAGAGATGCAGTTGAAAAATTTGGGTGCTCCTAAATTTTGTGCTGGTGCGCCTAAGAAAAGTCACACCAGCACAACCGTGGCAACAAGTTAGTCTAGAGCCCTGGAAGGTGTAGAAATACAGTATAAAATGCAAATAAGATGGTGAAAGTAATCAGGAGTCCTTCCAGAGAGTCAGAACAGAAGTACCAGAAAGTGCAGTTCCTCTAAGACCACTTAAGGCTGGCTTCAGAAGTGTGTCAGCTCCTCTAGAATCTCATGTTTAAAGTAGAGCAGATATAAACCATTTTGGTATCCACAGCTAATTTCCCGCTTTATTAGAACATTTTTAAAAATAACTAGTTTAAACTGTAAACGCCAAATGTAGGAATAATTAAGTGCATGGCTGCTCTGAGTGTCACGTAGGTGCCAAGACACTCTTCTAACCTCAATTAATTCAAGTTACTGAACAAGACAGTCCAAGAGGTCTCTACTCGTGATTTTTCAGTTAAATTGAAGAACAATTTTTTTTATGTTGGCACTAATTAACAATCTGTGGATGCAGCTTACTAAGTCAGGTTGGTAGCATTAGCTAATAGCGTAGCCCCCCCTCACTCTTGTTCCAAACACATAACCAAAGATTCAACAAACAAAATACCAACCCTGATCCGTCAAAGTTACCGTCTATAGTCCAGTCCAGTCTTTTATACATATTATGGTCTTTCTGTTATCAGTCTGCCAGATTTAAAAATATTTTACCATACAGAGTTGGGGGCTGCCAGACTCCATTTATGAAAGAATAACAGAGCGATGACAGTGATGAGTAAGAAATGGCAGACAACAGTGTGCCTGAGCAGCTTCACTGCTTGACTTCATTGATTGAATCTTTCTTACTGTCACTGACATATTTCTTACAGATTGCAACGATCTTCAGGAATGCTGGTGTGAATATTTCGGAGAAGACGTTTGAGGAAGCCTGGGAACTCGCGTCAATGAAGCAACCGACCAGGGAGGTTTGTGTGGAGAATTTCCGCAACGTTCTCAGGGAAATAAAAGCAATGTAATACCGAAGGGTTTTTTTTTTTTTTTTAACACTAACAATTTTCCTCATCCATAGAAGTTTGTCCTTCTCACAAAATTTTGTTTTACTTTGTTAGGAAAGCTTTTTTTTTTTTTTTAAACCACCATTCTCATAATTCTCACAGCTTATTGTCAGCTAAAGTATTTTTTTAACAGCAGGAAAGAACACTGTTTGCATTTCCTGTCTTTGCAACAGGGGAACTTGCAGTGCATAGGCTGTTTAAATGATTTCAGAGTCAGCCATGAAAGATCTGCATTAATATGAAATATTCCAAAGAGACTGAGTTAAATTTGAATCCTTTCTGTGCTGCTACAATCTTCAACAAAACAAAAACTACTGCTGATGAAAACTGCATCTTCTACACAATCGCGTGTTATATATTTTATGGATAAAGATCTACTTACCTGAATTAAAATTAAAATGTAAAAATATATAGAAAGGACGCAAGAAATGAAACTGTTTTTAAAAATCTTGACCTATTTTTTGGATTAAGGCTTTGTAGGTTGCTGCCTTTTATGCTATTTAATGAATTTGCTGGAAGCCACTTAACAGTTTCTGGCAGAACACCCGTTCAAAAAGGAGGTTATGTGAAGAGACATACTGCACTTGCTGTGGTATTTGATTTTATTTTTTTTCACTATATGGAATTATTTCTTGCGTCATTGAATTGGTCGTATGCAATGTTACGCTGAAGACCTGAGATGTTCTTTGAAGCTCTATTTTCATCACTGGGAACAGCAACAAACAACTTATCTCCTTTATGCATCAGAGCAGATTTTACTTTAGGCACTCTTGAGATTTCCTCAGAGAGCACACACAGGTGTACTTTTTCATACCAAACATCACAGATTTTTGGGTCCCATTCAAGACTTGTTTTGATCTATAGTTTGTTTATCTTGCCTGAATATCGTGTCTGTATCAGTATAACAAAAGTGCACACACACAAATGAACATCAGAGAAATTGTGATGCTGAGTGGCATAAACCGTTTTAATCAAAAATACTTCATTGTTCAATTGTTTTGATTTTTTTTTTTTTTTAAAAGAAAACAGTGATCATGTTTTGGGCTTTGTATGAAGTTGATGTCACCCATCATTTGCACATTTGCCACGTCAGCATTTCAGTATTATGTCAAAATTGTTCAGATTGTAGTGAGGTTTCTATCCACTGATCAGAGTGTTCAGGTGCTTCAGTATTTCAGTCCCTGGACCCTTCATGTGCTGACGCGACTACTACATTGCAACTTGCTCCTAGTAGTTGCCAACCCTCTCAAATGGCAGCAGTATATGAATAAGTGAATGAAAAAGTTGCGTGTTTTTAGGCATGCTTTGTTTGAGCAAACATTTTCTGTTTATTGGAAACAACATGCCACCCTTTGTTGGCATATAATAAGCTGCTGTGAAGCAGTGTTCAGTTATGATTAAAATGCAGCTGTCAGTAAATACTAAGTATGTTCTCTGAATCTTATCACTTTTTTTCTGTCTAGAAGTAGTATTAACTTTGATTTCCACACATATTTATCCCTTAATTCTATTAATCAACCTTATAATGAGACTCTGACAGAAACAGCACAATGGATCTGAAGCGTCCTGGAGCTGGGACACATGCAAACATACAAATACACATTAAAGAAAGCATGAGGAATTGTTTGCAATCTGCTTCGCTAACCAGATTAATGAACTAGTTGGCGTCTAGCCTGGACTGATTCACACGTCAGAACATACAAAAAAACAAAACAATAAAATAACTAATAAAAACATCAGCTTTTGTATATTCACCACTTGTTTATGTTTTCTTGTTAATTTCCATTAAAGTGAGTGATGCACAGGCATGTTAAATTGTTTAATGTACTCTCACCATATCCAGGAGCATATTGACACGTGCTAAGCTAACCACACTCATTTAATCCCATTATGACTCGGTGAGATGCTTGACTGGAACTATGAAAAAATAAATAAATAAACCCCCCCACCCCACGCAAACTTCCGCAGACCCCGCGTATTACCATGCAGGAAAATTAGACTAATCCTCAGCGTGTTTCATTATGCATGAATTAGCGGACGCTAATGACAGAATCCTTTCTGTTTGTCAGATATGTTGTCAACATTAATAATACTGCAGCAAGCTTTAACAGAATTGGATGACACGCAACATTCACGAGCCTGTCAAATGTGATGTCTTCGACAAGTGACACATTGCTGGCAGGGACTGTGGGCACAAACACAAGCTAAGGTGGAGAATTTTACGGCAGAATTAGTCATTCTTGCTTGGAGCAAAACTGTACTATTATAACTATTTTCATTTTGTACAAGATTTGTGTTATGCTCTCTTTGGCCCATCAAGAACTGGCTTCAACTTTGTCGCTGGCAGCCATCTACTAGAACATATGTCCCTTTCTGCTTGCTACAGAAAGTGGATTTTCTTCCCTGATGCTTTTTTTATCACTAACAGAATCCCGGTATTAGTTGAATACAAGAATACAGATCTAATATTAACAAAGTTTTCTCTTGGCCTTTATATTAGTCACTTGTGGAAAAAACTATTCTGCAGTGCTCCACAAAGTACCAAAGTACTCCACAAATTTGGCACTGCATGTCTGCACAAGTATTCAAAACCTACTTTAGCAACAATTTAACCACTAACAGGTGGGATTTCAATGTGTTGTTCTAGTTGCTGATGAAGCTGCAAGCAGAAATGAATAAAGAAAAAGAAATGCTAAACTGAACTGCAGTGTGAAACCTGAGCTATTAGCTCACATGGATTACTTTTACATACACTGACTTTATTATTTTAAACGTTGGCCACTCTAGCGGTATATATAAGGCAGGAAGTAAGGAGCATAAGCCCTTAGGTTTTCTTTAAGGCTTTTTAATGTGGGGATAAGAAACTGCAGAGGCAACCATTGGTGTAGAGCAGGGGTGTCAAACTCCAGTCCTTGAGGGCCGATGTCATGTCAAACTTGTAAATGTGTCCCTGCTGCAAAACACCTGAAAAAATGTAGCAGGTCTTTAGCAAGATTCTGTAGAACTTGAATGCATGCTGAGGTGGCAGCCCCTAATGTAACTGTTTGGAAAAATGTACTTCTAAAAAGTACTTTTATTGCACCATGCTCATTCACTCATGAGCTGCTGTAACATGAATCAAATGACTGAATTGCCACCTCAGCATGCAGTCAGGTTCTGTAGAGTCTTGCTAATGACCTACTAATTTTATTCAGGTGTGTTGCAGCAGGGAGACATTTACAAGTTTCATGACATCAGCCCTGGAGGACTGGAGTTTGACACCTCTGGTATAGAACAAATGGAATCTGTTGGGTCCTGATTTTCATCAGGGAAAGGACAGAAATTGGTGATGTAGTTTATAGATAGAACATACTGGTACTCAGACACCAATCAGATCATTATTACTTCTTAGTTTCTAGAAAAATACCTGTGTACCTCCATCATAATTTGTAGTTTATTTTTCAGATTTAATAAAAATAACTTTTGGAACGTGACAAAAGATATCATGGTTACAGCTGTAATACAATGACAAATGACCAAACTCAATTTAATAAAGCATGCAGTTGAAAGGTCCCAAAAAAATAAGCATGTATACGAAGTTGGTCAATGATCCAGAAAATAACTTCAATCTGTTCATATACTGTTTTTGTCTTTGGAGTGTCTATTAAAGGGATAACATTTTCAATAGGAAAACACAAACGAGATAGTCAACAGACCATAAGAACAGTAATGGTGAAGCATATACAGAATTTAAAAACACCTGACGGGGGTCGACAGGTGATTCAGAGAGACTGTACAGTACCACTACTTCTAGGCTACGTCCACACGTACACGGGTATTTTTGAAAACGGAGATTTTCCGTTTTCGTTTTAAAAAAATAATCCCGTCCACACGTAAAGGCAGAAATGAAGGAAAACGCTGCTAGGAACATGCCAAAGCAACAGGTGGCGATATATTCCTAACTGTGCAGAAATGTTGGCCAATCAGAAGTCTAGAAGCCTCGGTGGGAAAAAGTAAACAAAGCTGAGGCATAGAAGCAGAACCGAGTCGTATGTGTGGAGGGACAGTAGCTGTGTGTGTATATGTAAGCATTTAAACACTGCAGAGAGAACAATTAACAGTAACAGTATTGTAGAAGTTCATTTCACCGAAACAATAACATGGCGCACAGTGTGACGTCAGAAAATGCGCACACCTTTGACGCTGCGTTTTCTCCATTTTTCTCGTCCACATGTAAATGCAAAAACGGAGTTTTCAAAAATATCCACCCTGACCGGAGTTTTTAAAAATCTCAGTTTTCAGTGACCAAAAACGCCGTTTGCGTGTGGACGAAAGGTGCAAACGCATAGAAAAATCTGCGTTTTCAAAAATACCTGGGTACGTGTGGACATAGCCAAAGAAAAACCATCAAGTAGTACTCAGTGTCTGCACAGCTGCAGCACTCTGGGTCCCATTTAATGTGATCCAAATGGAAAATGATCAGTACAGTTTCTCAGTTTGAAGGTTGCCTTCCATAGGAAAGCAAAAAATGACAAATCTGAGCAAAACTGAGTCAGATTATTCAGCTAGTTTCCAGTGCCAGTGCCAAACAGTAGTAACAGTCCAGTCAGAAGAGGCTCCCCTCGTCAGCTCTCGGTGGAATCTGCGACGACACGAAGCAAAGATGGTTAAAAACTTCCCACACTGTTAATCATGCACATCCTAGATTAGTAGTACAAGTTTATTGAAAGTGCTGAAAGAAAAGATGGACCGACTAACCCTGACATTCAAACTAAGTTTTGGTTCTTGTCTCTCCTTGAAAATAATTGTATATAATTCTGAAAATGGCGCCTGTTTCATGCCAAACTGTCGGTTTCGTGTGAGCCTTCAGGATAACATTTGAAGTGTAACAGGATTTCTCAGAGAGGATTTTAAGACCTAGAACAATAGGACAGAGAATCTGGCTAACTAGATAGGTGGGTATTAGGTAGAATAGCCACACACTGTGGTCCAACAACTGGATTACTGGCTGAGAACAGAAAGAGGCTTTGACTGTTAGCACTGTGTGGGTGTGGAATGATTTGTCTTTTTGTTTAACCAGCAAACTTTATTGAAGAATTTAACATACTCAGAGCTGGATTCCAAACTACAAGAAGTTAGCAGACCTTTGCAGTGAAGGAATTGCAGTTATGCCAATGTTTCTTAACACTTTAAGGCAAAAAAAAAGGAGCTACAATTCTTTGTTGATATTTGGTGAAATAATAGAAAATAAAGTTACAAGTTACTGCTTATCTTCTAAAGTCAGTCAGTGATCAAGCACAGAATAACAAAGGTTTATGACGTGGCATCAGATTTCTGCACAGCCAGGTTGCTTTCAAAGAAAAACAAAGATTGATTTGCTTCGTTTCAGGTATGTGACGGTAGTGTGTGTTGTTCTAAACACTGACCAACAGACACAACTGTGCCTGAATGCATCATATATCAACAGTGACAGGGGACTAAAAGTTGCTGCCTCTCAGTTAGTTTTTTCACACATCATCTCTGCACACATCGTGTGATAGAAGAACCAGTCACATGACCATTCAAGTACACTGAACATGCATCTGCCATCGTAAACAGGAAGCTGAAGCTGTTTGATTTCTTGATGGGGAGGAAGAACCA